TTGTCTCTCGATCCATCTTATATCTATCATGCATCAATCATCTGTCTGTCTATCCATCCATTTTATATCTATCATCCATCAATCATCTGTCTGTCTATCCATCCATCTTATATCTATCATCCATCATCTGTCTGTCTATCCATCCATCTTCTATCTGTCTATCATCTGTCTGTCTGTCTATTCATTGGATTTATATCCTTCCCTCCCTGCAAGCGGTCTCAGGGCGGGTCACAACCATTAAGCTACAATATAATAGTAAATACAGTTCATATAGAGTTAAAATTTCTAAAACCAACAGATAGCAAAAGTTTTAATTCCCGGTGTCCACAAGGGCCTCTCACAAGTGCAGGGCATAGAAGGACCCATTTAACGGATGCCGTAGTGATCTTTAAGAAAGGGCAGTGCACCCAGACAGGGCAGGCAGGGGAGGCCAAAAACTTCAGGCATCCACCACCTCAGCCAAAGGCATCCGCAAACCATAGGAGGCCGCAAGAAACCTGCTGCCAGGTGATGGATCTGTGGCCACCGTCACATGCCTTCTCCAAAACATACTGAGCCAATGGGAGAAGTGGTCATAGAGAAGGGCGCTGGGGGTAACGTAAGGTGAGAACATGGCCGTGACCACATACAGTGAAATCCTCCGGTGCAGGGAAGCATGGGAAATGTAGTTCCTGTGCTTCTGGGTACCGGTGGACTATGCCATGAAGCGTTTTGGCCAAGCATTGGGATGGCAGAAGAAAATGGATGTGGGCAATCCTGGCTCTCCGTTGCAGACACAATAGCTGTCTCTGCAGCGGTCTGTCTCATGTTGCGTGCCCTCCAGTGCAGCATTCTTCAGTAGAACTGGTTCGTACAATCAGGTGTAGCGGAGAGGCCATGACACAGTGGTAGAGCCTCTGCTTGGCCTGCAGAAGGTCCCAGGTTCAATCCCCGGCAGCATCTCCAGTTAAAAAGGACCAGGCAGGAGGTGATGGGAAAGACCTCAGCCTGAGACCCTGGAGAGCTGTCAAGAGGGGCCGTGGCTCAGTGGCAGAGCGTCTGCTTGGCATGCAGAAGGTCCCAGGTTCAATCCCCGGCAGCATCTCCAGTTAAAAAGGACCAGGCAGGAGGTGATGGGAAAGACCTCAGCCTGAGACCCTGGAGAGCTGTCAAGAGGGGCCGTGGCTCAGTGGCAGAGCGTCTGCTTGGCATGCAGAAGGTCCCAGGTTCAATCCCCGGCAGCATCTCCAGTTAAAAAGGACCAGGCAGGAGGTGATGGGAAAGACCTCTGCCTGAGACCCTGGAGAGCCGCTGCCAGTCTGAGTAGACAAGACTGACACTGATGGACCAGTGATATGATTGAGTAGAAGGCAGCTTCAAGACTACCTCATTTGTGAACCAGGCAACAATAACAAATAGTGCCTTGCTTGGAACGGAGATGTACCACGTCCAATAACTGTCGTGTGTCTCTTTTCCAGATATGGTGACGAGAGGGTCTACAAAGGGTATTTCAAGGACAACATGCGCCATGGGTTCAGTATCTTGGAGAACCCTTCTTGCGCCGAGCACCCATTTAAATATACGGGGCACTGGGAAAACGACAAAAGAAATGGCTATGGCATTTGGGATGACACGGAGAGGTAGGTCTGGAAGCTCCGGGCGGTGCTTTGCTGAGATCTGTCTCTGGTGACAAGAGGTCATGCAGAGGTTGTTGTTGTTGTTGTTGTTCAGTCGCTCACAGTTTTTCTGACACTGTCTAAGACTCACCCTTTTATGGATGTGACAGCAACAAGGGCTGTACGCAACTGCTCTTGAGGAAGGCATTGCCACCATCTTGCTTTCCTGGAGTTTGTATACAGAGTTGGTTTTCATAAGATCATCAGAAGAGCCCTGCTGGATCAGACCAGTGGTCCATCTAGTCCAGCATCCCATCTCACACAGTGGCCAGCCAGGTACTCTGGAAGGTCAAAAATAGGGCATAGAGGCCCAGACCTCCCCTAATAAGGACATCAGAAGAGTCCTGCTGGATCAGACCAGGGAGGGTCCATCTCGTCCAGCATCCCATCTCACACAATGGCCACTGTGTGACACAGAGTGTTGGACTGGATGGACCACTGGCCTGATCCAACATGGTTTCTATTATGTTCTCACTTGCATTGGAGGGGGGAATTTTTAAAAGGCAAAAGCGCCTTCCAATGAAATTAAGAAAATAAGAGAACTCAGATCTTTAATTGGAACACTATGGGACACTCCGTCCGGGTCGGTGATGCTCTGTCTTCTTGGTGCTTGGGGGGGGCAAGAGTGGGAGGGCTTCTGGAGTTCTGGCCCCCCTGGTGAACCTCCTGATGGCACAGAGTGTTGGACTGGATGGATCACTGGCCTGATCCAACATGGCTTCTCTTATGTTCTTATGTTCTCTGTAATCTTGGTGCTTGGGGGAGCTACAGTGGGAGGGCTTCTGGAGTTCTGACTCCACTGGTGGACCTCCTGATGGCTCCTGGGTTTTGACCACTGTGTGACACAGAGTGTCGGACTGGATGGGCCATTGGCCTGATCCAAGATGGATTCTCTTACGTTCTTAGGAGATGCCAGGGATTGAACCTGGAACTTCCTACATGCCAAGTGGATGCTCAAGCCTGAGCCATGCCCCTCCCAAGGGAACCCCAAGTCCAGAAAGGTTCTGGAGGATGATTGTATTGTCCATCATCCTTCAGAATTTCCTGCACTGTGAAATTGTTTGTCCGAGCCCATGCTAGAGATGGGAACATAGTTCCAGGCCTTGCATGCAGAAGGTCCCCTGGTGTCTCTGGTATCTCCACTGGTATCTCCAGTGAAACCTTTAGGTGATGGAAAAGACCTCAGCCTGAGACCCTGGAGAGCTGCTGCCAGTCAGAGTAGACGAGACCGGTCTTGCTATGCTGACTCAGTAGAAGGCAGCTTCACCCAGGGCTCATTTTGTAGAAGAGGAAGAAGAAGAAGAGATTGGATTTATACCCCGCCCTTCACTACCCAAAGGTGTCTCAGAGCGGCTTACAAACTCCTTTCCCTTCCCCTCCCCACAACAGACACCCTGTGAGGTGGGTGGGGCTGAGAGAACTCTTGACAGAAACTGCTCTTTTTCAAGAACAGCTGTGCCAGAGTTATGGCTTGCCCAAGGTCATCCAGCCAGGTGCAAGTGGAGGAGTGGGGAATCAAACCCGGTTCTCCCAGATTAGAGTCTGCACAAGAAAGGAGAAGGAGAAGAGGAGGAGATTGGATTTAACCACTACACCAAACTGTAGCAGGAACTCCTTTGCATATTAGGCGACACCCCCTCTAAGCCAATCCTCCAAGAGCTTACAGAGCTCTTCTTAAAGGGGCTACTGTAAGGTCTTGGAGGATTGGCTACATTAGGGGTGTGTCGCCCAGGGCTCTTTTTGTAGCAGGAACATCTTTGCATATTAGGCGACACCCCCTCTAATGTAGCCAATCCTCCAAGAGCCTACAGAGCTCTTCTTAAAAAAAAACACACCCCTAATGTAGCCAATCCTCCAAGAGCTTGCAGAGCTCTTCTTACAGGGGCCACTGTAAGCTCTTGGAGGATTGGCTACATTAGGGGGGGTGTCCACAATGATCGTCTTCAACTGTGTTGTAGTTGCTCGTGGTTTTGCTGGTTGTCACTGCATGTGATGGATTCCTCCCCCCCCCCCACGTTTCAGGGCAGAGAGGTACATCGGGATGTGGCACGAAGACCAGAGACATGGACCAGGAATCGTGGTCACGCAGTCCGGCGGATGCTATCAGAGGATGTTCCACACGGATAAAATGGTGGTGAGTGTCGTGACCGGTGGAGAAGCTGGAGAATTTCTGAGCTCTTGGGCAGTCACCTGTCTAGGTTCAGGACTCTGCAGGGACTCTTGAATCCAGGTGTTCTGAGATCTAGCCTGATCGCATCAGATCTCAGAAGCTAACTAGGATCGGCCCTAGTTAGCACCGATTGATTGATTGATTGATTCAATGTTTATCCCGCCCTCCCCGCCGAAGACAGGCACAGGGCGGCTTACGACAAATTGGAAAATATATTAGAACACACATGCTTATACAATAGGTAAAGGTTCCCTTGCTCGAAAGCCAGTCGAGTCCGACTCTAGGGTTGCGGTGCTCATCTCCGCTTCCAAGCCAAAGAGCCAGCGCTGTCCGAAGACGTTTCCGTGGCCATGTGGCCGGCGTGACTAAACGCCTAGGCACACGGAACGCTGTGACCTTCCCACCGAAGTGGTACCTATTTATCTACTTGCAATTTCTTGCTTTCGAACTGCTAGGTTGGCAGGATCTGGAACTAGAGAGCTCACTCCATCATGCAGCACCCGGGTCTCGAACAGCTGAACTACCGGCCTTCCACAGCCTGCAGTTCAGCGTCTTAACCACTTGAGCCACCACAGCTCCACGCTTATACGATACAGTGTCATAAATACAAAACATACCAATTCATAGTACAAAATGAAATAATACAAAATAAAATAATGGGCTGGTAAGCGATGGCGTCCCGGAGCCAGGGCTCTTTTTGTAGCAGGAACTCATTTGCATATTAAGCGACACACCCCTAATGTAGCCAATCCTCCAAGAGCTTACAGTGGCCCCTGTAAGAAGAGCTCTGCAAGCTCTTGGAGGATTGGCTACATTAGGGGTGTGTGGCCTAATATGCAAAGGAGTTCCTGCTACAAAAAGAGCTCTGCCGGAGGCCATGATGGAATATGCCCGAAAATGGTCCCCGTCAACATCCGGCATAGGTGGCTATTGATGTCAGTAGAAGGGCCTTAACTGTTCAGTTAGTGTTGTTGGTGTTATTGATGTTATTAGGGGATGTTTTTAGTGGCGGCTCCCGAATCGAAGGCCTGGTGGAAGAGCTCCATTTTACAGCCCCTGCAGAACTCTGCAAGACCCTGCAGGGCCCTGATGTCTTCCGGGAGCTCGTTCCACCCGGGTGGAGCCGCCACTGAAAAGGCCCTGGCCCTGGCGGAAGCCAGTCTGGCGTCTTTCGGACCAGGGAGGCACTTGGACGGGAGGCCATCGTGGAAGTCCAGGGTTGCGATGCAGGCAGTGGCCACCCACCTCTGAACGCCTCTTGCCTTGAAAACCCTGTGGGGTCACCGTAAGCTGCCTGCAACTTGACGGCATTTCCTGGCAGTAGTTATTATAGGGGGGGGGGGAATTCTAGCCCGGGCATTTGTAGTCTAGAGCTTGCTTCGTGACGAAGCGCACTCCAGTCTGAGGCATTTTATGTCAGAATAATAATAATAATAATACCATTCGATTTATTGATCGCCCAATCCGGCAGAGCTGCTGGCTCTGAGCGATTTACAGTTACATGGTTTCACACAAGGGACTAACAATTTCATAGGGGGGTAAGGGAGGACAACATATAATTCTTTAAATTGCACACATTTGCAGCCGACGGGGATTTTTGTTCAGCTGTAGGCTTCAGACGTGTTCCGGACAGCATTCATTTCGGCTTGGCTTGATGACGTTGGTTCTTCCTGGGCTGCTTTGAATCGTAGCGTCGCACTGCCATCGCCTGGCCGGGTTGACCCATTACAGAATGAAAATGCACATGCCTTTAAACCATCATACAGGCTCCTGTGGCCCCTCTGGAATGTTTAGCTCTGATGGGATTGTGTGATGGTTCGATCCAGGGGCCATTTCGTAGAAAAAGAGGTGCAGGAGCTCATTAGCATAGCTCATTAGCGTAACCTATTTGCATATGCCACACCCCCTGACATCACCGGAAGTGTGTCAGAAGCCGACGCCCACCGCTCAGGCTCCACTGGACTGTTTTGGATTGCTAGCTATTGGGGGGGGGAAGAACGCGCAGATCTGCCCTCGCAGAGGAGGGAGAGCTCGTACCTAAATAAAACTTGGTCTTAAAGGTGCCACTGGACTGTTTTGGATTGGGGGGCTCTGCAACGTACCTGGCTGCTTCTTGCTCTGACTGAGGGCTGCTGGGAGCAGGGGGTGGGGCTTGTTGCATGTGCCCGCCCCCTGGGCTCTTTACTGCCGGAGCTCCGCTCCTGTGCGCTCCTGCAGGAAATGACCCCTAGTTCGATCCCTGTGCTTCGCCTGTTTTGTTTTGTTTTGGTGGTATAGTTGCATTTGTGTGTGTGTGTGTGTGTGTCTGCCTATGCCTGGAAGTTGTGGAGAACTCTGGCGCCTCCTACTGGGGAATGGAGGACGCTCAGAGGTTTGACAGCCTGCCTCTGGCCTTCTGGCCTTGGTATTCTCTGGAGGTCTCCCTAGACCGTTCCATAAGTTGGGGGCCACCTCTGGTACTGGAGGGAGCTAACGACCGTCATGATGATAAGAACATAAGCAGAGACCAGGATTGCTGGGTTTCAAAGCAGAAAAGTTCTGAGGTTCTTTTATCTGGCTTTCCTCCTGTGATCTGTAGGGCTCTGGAACTCTTCTCCTGGAAGACGACTCGGTCTACGAGGGGAACTTCACACCGGACTTAACGTTTGTTGGAAAGGTGAGGTTGGGGAGCGTGTGTTGGCTTGCCCTGAGAATTTGGACCGGATGGAGAAGGACTTAGAAGTTTCTTTGCCCGTGTCCCTGCCCTTCCGTCACACAAAGCAGATCACCGATGGCGAAATCCAGGGGTCATATAGTAGAAAAAGAGGTGCAGGAGCTCATTAGCATAACTCATTGGCATAACTTATTTGCATATGCCACACCCCCTGGCATCACCGGAAGTGGGTCAGAAGGCAACACCCACCGCTCAGGCTCCACTGGACTGTTTTGGATTGCTAGCTATGGGGGGGGGGGGAATGTGCAGATCTGCCCTCGCAGAGGAGGGAGAGCTTGTATCTGAATAAAACTTGGTCTTAAAGGTGCCACTGGACTGTTTTGGGCCGGGGGGCCGGGGGGAGCTCTGCAACTTACCTGGCTGCTTCTTGCTCTGACTGAGGGCTGCTGGGAGCAGGCTTGTTGCATGTGCCCGCCCCCTGGGCTCTTTACTGCTGGAGCACCGCTCCAGTGCACTCCTGCAGGAAATGACCCCTGGATGTGGTACATCTCCATTCCAAACAAGGCATTATTTGTTATTGTTGCCTAGTGTCGTTGTTAAGAGTGACAGACTCTAATCTGGAGAACCGGGTTCGATTCCCCACTCCTCCACGTGAAGCCGGCTGGGTGACCTTGGGTCAGTTACAGCTCATTCAGAACTCTCTCAGCCCCCCAAAAATCAGTCTAGCTCACCACCTAGTGGTGCATAACGCTGAAGAGCTAGAACATCAGGCTGCCAGACAATCTTAGGATCTCTTGGCTATACTATACATAATGCCATATGATGATGATAATAATAATATTCCCTCTTATATGCTCACCTATCAGTGCTTTGAATTTTAGGGGACAGGTGGCAATTGTTGTTGTTGTTGTTGTTGTTATTATTAATAATTATTATTATTCAGATTTTGGGAGATAGAAGAGGGGAGGGTTCAGCTCCTCTTGCCTCTATGCCCCTTTCGATGTAGAAGCCCCCTCCCCTACTTTCTATATGCATGCAAATGTATTGAAAGCCAGTTTGGTGTAGTGGTTAGGAGCGTGGACTCTAATCGGGGAGAACCGGGTTTGATTCCCCACGTCTCCACTTGCAGCTGCTGGTGTGACCTTGGGTCAGTCACAAGTTCTCTCAGAGCTGTTCTCTCAAGGACAGTTCTGAAAAGAGCTCTCTCAGCCCCACCCACCTCAGAGGGTGTTTGTTGTAGGGAGGGGAAGGGAAAAGAGATTGCGAGCGGCTCTGAGACTCCAAGTGAAGGGCGGGGTATAAGTCCAATCTCCTCCTCCTCCTTTTCCACTACATTTATCTTGCCGCCGTTTAAAGTCTGCAGACGTCCTCTCTGAGCTGGATGGCCGGATTCAAGTCCAACGGCAGATACCCAACAAAGAGGGCCTTGACCCTCAAAAGCTCATACTCGGAAATCTCGTTGGTCTCTACGTTGCCGCTGGACTCGAATCTGGCTCTTCTACCACAGGCCGACATGGTTCCCCTCTGAAACGCTGATCTGGATGCCGTCTTAATCCTGACTCTGGGGCTTGTTTCAGGGAAAACTGACCTTCCCCAATGGATTCACCCTGGAAGGAACCTTCAGCAACAAATCCAGCCAAGGCCTGCAGACCCAAGGGATCCTGGACACCTCCGGAGAACGACCGGATGAGCCAATGACCAAGCTGTGAGTGGAAGCGGGAGGGAAGGGACCCCTGGCTTAGGGTCTGGCTGGGCTGCAGTTGATCTCCAAATAAGACTGGCGAGGAGGCGTGTGCAGGGCTATTTGGGGGCAGGAACGCACAGGAACGGAGTTCCGGCTGGCTTCAGAGTTGGCCACGCCCACTATAGGCAAAATTTCTGCATGCATGGCTACAGAGGGAAGGCCTGGAGAGCGACCCCCCCCCCCGGTGACTCCAAGGTGGGCAGGCCAGGGGGCCCCTTGGAAGGAGCGGGGAGGCATTTAAATGCCTCCCCGTGCCTACCCTGTCCTGTCCAAGGGCGCCCAGGCAAGACCAAGGGAAGACATGGGGGTGTGGCCTGATATGCTAATGAGTTTCTGCTGTGGGTGTGGCCTATTATGCTAATGAGTTCCTGCTGGGCTTTTTCTCCCAAAAAAGCCCTGGGCGTGTGTTAGTCTGGCTCTAGCCCACGGTTTTAAGCCCCCAGCTTCCAACTGTGTTCTGCATTGATCTTGGTAATGGCCTCGTGGTGATAAGGACATATATTCTAACGATTTATCCAGGGGTAGCAGCTGGCTTCTTGTTGGATGGCTAACCATGGAGATTGGCTGGCTTTTGAAATGGCTTCTACATAGAATCATAGAATCACAGAGTTGAAAGGGGCCACACTGGCCAGGTAGTCAAACCCCCTGTTGAATGCAGGACCAGCCTAGAGCTGAGGTGTCAAACTCATTTGTTATGAGGGCCGGATCTGACATAAATGAGACCTTGTTGGGCCGGGCCACGTGTGTCATAAAATGTAAGGCCAGGTAGTGGAGTTATAAACTTTAAAAAGGACACAGACAAACACAATTAAATATTTTTAAAAACTTTAAATAAAACATGCTTAAAACACTAGCACTCTTGCAATATTTTGTCTATTTAACCGTGTCTGATAACGGACGCCTCTTGCTCTGGGGGGGTACTGTTCTTAGACAGTTAAGTTTTAAGAGTTAATGAAAAGGAAAAAGTACTTAAATGTCTGACTCAGTTTATATTGATCTAAATGAAGTGAAGACTTGATTTAATGAAACTAGTGAGGATCTCCTCTCTTGGGTTTTTAGTCAGTAGTGGGTTTCTATACTTTGTCCTGCCCCCAGGCTGCATGTTTGACACCTCTGGCCGAGAGCATCCCTGACAAGTGTTTGTCCAGCCCCTGATTCGAGACTGCCAGAGAGGGGGAGCTCACCACTTCCCCAGGCAGCCGATTCCACTGTTGCATAACTCTGACTCCCAGTGCCGGGAGGCAACACTCAGGAGAAGGCCTCGGTTTCCATGTCCTGTTGTTGGCCCTCCAGAGGAATTGGCTGGCCCCTGTGTGAGATGGGATGCTGGACGAGATGGACCCTCACTGGTCTGATCCAGCAGGGCTCTTCTGGTGTTCTTCTCAGGGGAAGGCCTCAGCCTCTGTGCCCTCTTATTGGCCCTCCAGAGGAACTGGGTGGCCACTGTGTGAGGCCAGATGCTGGACTAGAGGGACCCTCCCTGGTCTGACCCAGCAGGGCTCTTCTGAGGTTCTTCTCAGGGGAAGGCCTCGGCCTCTCTGCCCTGCTGTTGGCCCTCCAGAGGAACTGGCTGGCCACTGTGTGAGACAGGAGACTGGACTAGATGGACCTTCACAGGTCTGATCCAGCAGGGCTCTTCTGACGTTCTTCTCAGGGGAAGGCCTCGGCCTCTTTGCCCTCTTCTTGGCCCTCCAGAGGAACTGGTCGGCCACTGTGTGAGACAGGAGGCTGGACTAGATGGACCCTCTCTGGTCTGGTCCAGCAGGGCTCTTCTGGTGTTCTTCTCAGGGGAAGGCCTCGGCCTCTCTGCCCTGTTGTTGGCCCTCCAGAGGAACTGGCTGGCCTCTGTGAGAGGATGCTGGACTACATGGACCACTGGTCTGATCCAGCAGGGATCTTCTGATGTTCTTTTCGGGAGAAGGCCTCAGCCTCTATTCCCTGTTGCTGGCCCTCCATAGGAACTGGTTGGCCCCTGTGTGAGACAGGATGCTGGACTAGATGGGCCACTGGTCTGATCCAGCAGGGCTCTTCTGATGTTCTTAGTTGAGGTGGGCATGTACGGTGGTGACAGATCCGGGGAGTGTGGGGATTTCTCCTGGTTGCTTGAATGCCACCATTAATAACTTCAGGTGTGTCGCCGTGTTGGTCTGAATCAAGAGAACAAAGTTTGAAACCGGTGGCACCTTTAAGACCAACAAAGTTAAGTTCTGGGTTAACTCTTGTATTATCTCTGTGTTAATTTGCTGCCATTCACTGGTCTTAAAAGGGTAAAGGTTCCCTTGCTCGAAAGCCAGTCGAATCTGACTCTAGGGTTGCGGTGCTCATCTCCGTTTCAAAGCCGTCGCCGTGTTGGTCTGAATCAAGATAACAAAGTTTGAAACCGGTGGCACCTTTAAGACCAACAAAGTTCAGTTCTGGGTTAACTCTTTTATTATCCGTGTGTTAATTGGCTGCCATTCACTGGCCTTACCAACGGCTTCAATCCAGTCATAGCTATAATTGCTCAGTTATTTATGTATCTTGACTCTAATTAGCCTTCCTGGCTGAGGGTGGGTTGTTTCAATGTATCTGAGGAAGCGTGCATGCGCGTGAAAGAGAGAGCCAGTTTGGTGTAGTGGTAAAGTGTGCAGACTCTAATCTGGGAGAACCGGGTTTGATTCCCCACTCCTCCACTTGCAGCTGCTGGATGACCTTGGGCAAGCCGTAGCTCTGATAAGAGCTGTTCTTGGAAAAGAGCCGTTTCTGTCAGAGTTCTCTCAGCCCCACCCACCTCACAGGGTGTCTGTTGTGGGGAGGGGAAGGGGAAGGAGTTTGTAAGCCGCTCTGAGACTCCAAGTGAAGGGCGGGGTATAAATCCAATCTCTTCTCTCTTCTTCTTCTATATGTTAAGTGCCATCAAGTTGTTTCTGACTTACGGCAACCCTATAAATTAATGTTCTCCAAATGTCCTATCATTAGCAGCCATTCCCAGGCCTTGCAAACTACCCCCTCCTTCCCAGCCAAGGGCGGCTTACATAAAATCAGCAAAAAAACATTTACATAGTGCAATTAAACATTTAAAGCAGTATTTAAAAAATTGCAACTCCATGATAACTGCTAGTTTTGCTGTTATGGAGTTTGTGATGGCTACCGTCGTCTCTCTCTTCCCGTGGCTGGCACAGATCTTCTATAGGTGTCTTTCAGGTGTCCCTCCGGCGGCTGGCACGGTTGTTAGTATAAGTTCCAGGGCAGCAGGGCTTCACATCCTAGTTGTTAGAAGTGGCGGCGGCTCCAAAGGCCTGGCGGAAGAGCTCCGTTTTACGGGCCCTGCAGAACTGTAGTAGGTTCCGCAGGGCCCTGATCTCACCTGGGAGAGCGTTCCCCCAAGGAGCCACCACCGAGAAAGCCCTGACTGTGACACCCTTCCCTCTGCCACTAACTGGATGTATGAATGGGGTTCCCTGGGGTTATATCGTTCGTATGCGTGGTTTTCCATCTGATACGTATGGCTTGTTCACGCGTGCCAGTCGCTCCTTGATTCTGCAGTCCTCAAGGGATGGACCCGGCATCAGTGATCGTAGAGGGCTAACCTCTGTTCTTTTCTTGTCCAGCCAGCTCGGCCAGAAGGAATTCCCCGTGGAGGTGAGATGGGAGGGACTCTTCAGCCAGTTCCTGGAGTTCATTCATTCGGGATGTCCAGCAGACCTGGAAGAGGCTTTCATGGGTTTCCACGTCCAGACCAGCAAAGAGCTGAGGAAGTCTCAGGAGTACCTGTTTTGCCAAAGGTGACGAGGGGAATGTGGCCCTGGGCATAAACATGATTCGCTGTTGTAGATTTTCCGGGTTGTCTGGCTGTGGTCTTGGCATTTCGCCAGCAGCTGTGACTGGCCTCCTCAGAGGTATAAGCACAGAAAAACGGAGTACTCTCCGTTTCAAGGTGAGAAGAAGAAAAATGGTAAGCAGGTGATTTATATCTACTCCGGAAGGTGGGGTGGGGCTGAGTCATTACCATGTAGGGGTTCCCCAGGCTGTGAAACATGCTAATAGAGGAGCTTTCCTGAGGAGGTTCTTTTGTATATGGATTGGCTGTCTCCTGAGGAGGTTCTTTTGCATGTGGATTATTTCCCGAGGAGATTTCCTGTCTTCGACAACGTATAAACATGGTTGTTTATTGCAATTGTAGGGCTGGTAGATTCATGGGCAAATCGGTAATGCGTATTGTGAACCCTTAAAAAGGTAAGTCAAACTGAGTAGAGGGCGAACAATTGAAACTTTATATATATGATATATAAAAATACATGCATTTATTTGCTGAGGACCAGTCTTCCCTCTAAGCTGAGTTAGTGTGAGCTAGCTCACAGTTTTTTAGCCTTGGTCTCACACGTTTTTGTCTTAGCTCAGGAAGGAGGGCTCCAGAGCAAAACTAATGTATGCAGCAGCCAAATAGATTGCTCACAACTTTAATGCCAGCAGCTCACAAAGTAGAATCTTTGCTCACAAGACTCCACAGCTTAGAGGTATTTGCTGAGGACACTTTTGGCTTGAACAATCATTGAAAGGCACTTTCTGGACCAGAAATTATTATCAGTGAAATATCATTTGGCATAGGATTGGATCTTGGGAGGCCTGGTTTATACTTTCATTCTATGCCTAGTAGTTTCACTTTGGAACAATGCATTCCTGGTCCATTTCGTATCCATGCTGTGTAATTGTATTGCATTATGGTATAAGCCAAGTTGTTCCTCATTGTGTGTGACCTCTGAAGAGCCAGTTTGGTGTAGTGGTTAAGTGTGTGGACTCTAATCTGGGAGAACCGGGTTTGATTCCCCACGCCTCCACCTGCACCTGGCTGGATGACCTTGGGCAAGCCATAGTTCTGACAAGAGCTGTCCTTGAAAAAGAGCAGTTTGTGTCAGAGTTC